AGAGAGAGAGAGAGAGAGAGAGAGAGAGAGAGAGAGAGAGAGAGAGAGAGAGAGAGAGAGAGAGGGTCAGCCGTAAACGCGCTGGCCATGCACTAGATGAAGCTACCGTTTGCGACTCTACAAATAGTGCAGTTCGAACCAGGCGGGGAGGGGACACAGCGCGAAGGTATATGATAACGAGCTACTAAAGCACATGCAGCCGGACTGCATCTGGTGACGGGACGAAAGAAGGCTTCTCATCCAGTATCTACCATTCGTTCACCTGGAAAACAAGCGGCCACACTTTCTTTCGCCGTTTACAACCACTGCTAGGAACGGGCGGCCATCTCCATGCTCTCCCTTCACACGAGTGCCGAGGAACGGTAGGCAGGATCTTCTCAACAGTGCCACTGCATCTACAGTAGCCTCTTTCCCTCAGATTCCGCTGAGCGTGAGCCCTGACCAATCGGCTACCCTCTTCTCCCACCCCTCCGCTCTGTATCTCCTCCTGCTCACGCGCCACCCTCAGTGCGAAATGGTGAACAGGGTTCTCAATTTTGCTAACACTGCCTCCACAGGAGATTGACGTGGTGGAACTTGTCAAGCCCCATCACAGCCTTCTCGCCCTCTACTCCAACCTCCAGCTTCATGTTCAGGTTGGGCTTGCTGTTGCAGTCGCTCCAGAGAGGCGTCTGGAAGTCCTCCGTGATCTCTAAGCTGCCAACCCTTGGGCCTTCGATTTTGCGCTCGATCATCGTCGTCCCCGATTGTCCGGAGAAGTAGCAGACCGTCCTGTAGATGCCCACCGAGTTCTTGACGATGTCAAAGTGCACGTTGGCCGTGGCCTGACCAACGGAGAAGCTCCAGCCATCCGGGTAGTTCAAAGCGAACGATATCTGGCAAGCCTTCTTCCTGTCCCCGTCCGTGGTTGCAACCATCCCGTCGAATGTGAAGTTGACCGTCTTGTAGTCGTTCGACAGCGCGTAGTCGGTGTCGTCGAAACCGCAGCCGGAACCTCCGTAGGTGATAGAATCGATAGTCACCTCAGGCGGAGTCTGCGCGCTTGCCTGAACTCCAGCAGCGAGCATGAGAAGAACGCCTGCAAGAACCACCTGACTCGCCATTGCCCTCGACCTCTGCCTCCACACTCCCACTCAACAAGCTTAACGGTGCACAGAGAAACGCCGCGGTTCTCGAAAGACACAAAGGCAGCAGTGACAGTTGCACCTATCTGATTCTCCGTTCGAAGCCCCACTACTCGACGTTTCTGCTATCCGTGTGCAAGCAATGAGAGCAGTTCCGTTCGGTTTTATACAATGTCATTTGCTCGTAGCAGTGCCTTTCATTTTGAGGTCCGTCTTGATCCAGCAGTCATGTGGTCGGATGGGGTGGCCCTGAGTGACTCCCAAGAGGCTCGTCTCTTTCGGCCCCAACAGCTCTTTGCGACCCAAATGCTGTTACGTTCCTGGGGGAAAAAATAGCATGAACTAACTGGGGGCGTTTTTTGAGTTGTTTTAGACCGGTAATGCCGGTCAGGTTCATGCTCTGTGGCGGCCGGGGGGAGCTAGTTTTCTTTCTCTTTTTTTTTTTTTTTTTTTTTTTTTTTTTTTGGACCATTTCTCGATTTATGCGTGTCATCCTTGCGCAGGGGCCATGCTAATCTTCCTTCTCTGTATCGTTCCAATTTGAACGGATGTCCCGAAGGACTTCTTCCTCTTTTTAGTAGAGCTGCAGTACTTGTACACGCAGATCGTGTGGAGGGGCACTGCACTTGTGTCTGAAGTCGAGGGTCCAGAATGAAGAATGCAGGCAAGTGGGGCGTGCCCGCGATTCTTTCATTTGGAGGATGACATGGAATATCAGAATGTTCTCTCTTTGAAGCAACATAACTACAATTGGTTTCAAAAGAAGAAAGAACAGTATGGGCATCGCCACACAACTCTCGAAAGCTCACACAGAACAGTATGGGCATTGCCACACAACTCTCGAAATCGGCAAAATGAGAATGAACTTACCGGTAGAACATGGCCAGATGCACCTGCCACATTTTTGTCTTTTTCAGCAGTGCTTGGCTTGAAAGTGGTGAGTGATGTGGCTATGCCCTATTTCTCACCAGTGCTTGGCTTGAAAGTGGGCCTCGACCAACGAGCCCAGCTCAGTTGGTAAACCGGTGAACTGTTGAAATACAGACCCATGTTCAAATCCTGCTTTGGACCTTGATGAATGGAATAAATCATTCTGAATTACCAAGGGCCGGTCCGATCAATGAAGATATCCCAAGGCTGTCATCCTTTTTAACTTTAAAAAAAAAAAAAAAAAAAAAAAAGTGGGCCTGGCCACACCACTCTCGAAAGGTGAAAAAGACAAAAATGTGGAGGGCGCATCCGGCCATGTTCTAGCAGGAAGTTCATTCTCATTTTGCACATTTCGAGAGTGGCGTGGCAGAAAAGAAATCACAAAACGAGAAAAAATCATATCCCAGGCCATTCGCAATCTGTTAAAATTGGAACGATACACAGAAGATTAGCATGGCCCCTGCGCAAGGATGAGACGCAGAAATCGAAAACTCAGCCACTGCCAACGCAGCAGGGGAAAGTGGGCTGGTAAGCCTTGAGCCGCTTGAGGGCCTCGCCGCACGGCAAACGAAAACGAAACGAGTGCATCTGCCCGCCAAAGGTGGCAAATACACTCTTTACTATTTATAGCAAACCGACGAACCTGGCCATTCTCTGGCGGAAGATACATTTGTTTCGTTTTATGTTTCGTTTTTCGTTTCGTGTGGCGAGGCCCCGAGCGTGGTGGATTCAGGTGGAAGATCCACGTTTCGTGACGACAGGAGTAGTGTTTAAAAAAAAGAAAACTTTCCTGCCCAGCGTCCTTCCGGACATCCGTTAAAGCCCGGTCCCAAAACCCCTACCTCGAACTTCGTCTCGGCAAAATCGGTCGAGATATGACTGAAATACACCCCTTTTCTCTCCCTCCAACGTGCACACACCTGGTGCGATTCGTCGGCCAGGTTCATTCCGCCCTCTTACTGCTCCGCTCTGTTTCTCTCGGCGCCGTCAATCGTGCGTTGCCACTCCCCTGGTTGCGGCCCTGCCTGCCTCCCCGTTATCTATCTCTCATGCAGTCCTTTCCCCCTCCGTTTCCTCCTTCACTTACTGACCCGCCTTCCTGATCCCGCTATCTTAGCGTGCACCCGACGCATCTTCCCACCCGGGTTCACCCTTCGTTTCCAACCTCCCCCCCCGCTACCTGCTTTCACAGCCAATGTTGATGTCAAAATCGGTTCTTCCGGACTGCGCAGCCTGACGGTCGTTCGAAGTGCCAGGCGAAAAGCTCCGGTCGTCGGACCCTCTTCCTGATTTATGTGTATCATTCTTGCGCTGGGGCCATGCTAATCTTTTCTGTATCGTTCCAATTTCAACGGATGTCCCGAGGGACTTAGAGCTGGCGGGCGCCCCTTGGCCACCGCAACAGACAGCCGTCGGGCGGACCTAGCTACGGGACGGGCCAACTCGATTAAGGCAGTCATTAAACTATGTAAACTCTAAACCTCGGTTCCTTGAGACAATACGGGCAGAAGTCAAAGGTCGAAAATACTACTCAATCCCTGATAAAAAAAATGACAGTCTACAATAGCCGAATAATAGGCTAAGCACAAACATTCCTCCACTTCTAATTTAACAGAGTGGGTAAACCCACTCTCCACCCACTATAATCACGAACAGGAAGCCGTCCAATGCGAAACTTAAGACTATACCTTTCCGGTCTCTTCGAGCGATATTTTATCGCGCCGTACACACTGATCACCCCACCACCGGCTAGACTCAGACTCAATGGTGGGTCAAATTTCAGGACCTCGATCTCCAGGTAGACTCCTTTCTTTTCACCCATCAATTACTCAAGCTCAACTGATCTATTTTTTTACAAGCACTCTCTCAGGAGAACACTTCATTGTGGGATTTAATCAGACGCCTCAATTTTTCAGCTAATCTAGAAGATTGGGGTGTTTGACCCCATCATACATACCACAGATGTACCTTTTGGGCAGGGCCCCGTTAAGCCCAGTCCCACAAGGCACTATTACCATTCAAAAACCACTCATTTTACTGACTCATGAAAGGTATGGGCGGGGATATTCACTTAGTCTTTCAAAATAAAGAAAATCACCCCTCTTCCCCATAAATCCTACCTTTATAAGTGTGATCCTTCACTTTTATCACACACTTTGCTAATCTCATCCACAAATTTTGCTCAGTGAGCAACTCTCATAATCCTTTTCAAACAAAACCCAACGCCACTTTCAATCAAAATTATAGCCGATTGGAGGGCCCCATAATCATGTCGATCCTTCCTGCCGTGCGTGGCACTCCCACCGGTTATTAGCAAAAACTTTAGTTTTTCTCAAGGAGCCTTAATTATGGAAGTCCCCGTCACAGACTAGACCGCTTGTGGCCCATAACAAGCTGAGTAAATGACTCACAACCAGCCTTACCACCTTATGGGCGACTACGCAAGCAGGGATGCCGAATTGAACGGAGCTTTCCTTACCCCCTGCCACACATAGAACCACCCGGGACTCACAACCACTGGCCGGGTAAGGGCTTTCTTAGATGACAGGTTTCCCTGCTGCAGATGACACGCTTACTGGCAGCTGAGGCCCAACAGAGTGGAACTGACGATTTGGCAGGAGATAATACTCTAATTCCATAAAAATTATTTTTAAGTCACCCCCTTCCTCTCAAGGGTGAGCCTGCCATAATATTTTTTTAAGACCCCTTCCACTCTGAAGGAGAATCACCAAAAAAAATCTCTCAGCCATCCTCCCACTCATGGATGAATTTGTTTATATAATCTTGAAACATTCTTCGCTTGGAAATACCCGTTAAACTTTGTAAGGCCGCCCTTGGGCACAACCTCTCTCTTAATGTGATTTTCTGGACTCGTTGAGCCTTCTAGAAATATCCCATAAATAATCACGCTTTCTTCACGTCACCATTAATTAAAGTAATACACAAAAAGACTCACAAGGCCACTTTGATGAAAATGTCTATGACAACCGAAACACGCACGATCCTGCAACCCGAGGGAATCAAAACTCTTCCCAAAAAAAAAAAAAAAAAAATCCCCCAAAAAAATCAGGTCATCCAAAGTCTCACATCCTTACAAATCTCAATTCTTCACAAATTCATATCCCACTCAACAAAAGACCTTATATAGCGTATCACATAGGTCTTATACGCAAAATAATATCAAATGTTCTCGCCCAAATTGGGTATGCGTTTAGCATTGTCGGTGCGAATACCCTTACAAGGGTATCCGCCCTGTTTTTTGCATGCGACAGAAAATAGGTTTGGTTTAAAGTCCAAGAATACCGCGCGAGGCGCGGTTGAGTCTGAGGTTTACATTGGCGGGATGGTTGCCTAGAGCAGAGAGTGTGTTGGCGCGCAGGCTCGAGGCGCGCGTGATTTTTATCTTTGATGACCGAAGAGCCGACGTGGGCGCCGACCAAATTTTTTTTTTTTTTTATTAAACTAGGATTAAATATTTTTTTGTCGTTTGATTAACGCACTTACCTTTGACCCATGCGTACGTACGGAGGACGGCATCGACAACAAAGTGACTTCTGAAAGCGTTTCAGTAAACCCGCGCGTCGCACGGTGGCTGGTTATTTAGGCGTCCGCCAAAGCTAGACCCAGATTCAGGCTTAGCGCTATTGCTTACAGCGTCGGACTTTCATCGAGGAGATTCAGGGATCGAGACCGAGCGGCAGCGACGCGGGGGTATCAGATTAGTGCAGAGAGGCCGATGACTTGAGGACCCGGCGGGGTTATTTCCCTTGGTTTTGTCGCTAGAAGTGTCGGAACGAGACTAGCGATCCATTTATCCTCGTCCACCATATTCCGACGATTAAAAGTTGTGTATTTTATCATACTTATTATCTATCGTCATCATTATTAGACTCTACGCTTGACTTTTGTAAGCCGGGCATCGGGCCGGCCGCGAGTGGCCGCCGCAACCGTCGAAGACCTTGAGCACGCGCCTCTCTTGGCGGGCTGGATTGAGTGCCCGCATATTCTGAATGTTGGTAAAATTTCTCTATAACAGACCTTGTTAAGGAACGTGAACTGGGTCCAACATACCTATGGGATGGTGAGTGATTAGCCCACGACACGGGATAAATTTAAATGGAAGGTTAGATATAGAATGAACCTACC